ACCAGGCTACAGTCTACATTATGGACTGCCAGTACATTCACCCAGCTTAATAACCATTGCTACAGTCTACATTATATCTGCCAGTACACTCACCAAACTTAATTACCAGGCTACAGTCTACATGAGTGGTATTTGGTTTTTAATTATTTATATTTTTATTATTTTTCTATCTTCGTGAGCTTACCGAAAGAACCAAAAGAATAGGCATAACCTCTCATTTAAGTATTTAGCGGACATTTATTGCCCTGTCATGCGAATATTCCCTCACTATGATTATCCCAGCTTTCAAAATAATTATCTCCAATATATGGGTTTTCAAAGCTAATATATCAGCCAATTTTGGGGAATCCTTAATAGCTGTGATGGAAAATGTGACTACATAGTGCACTTGTTTTTCGGGAACACATTTTATAGTAATTAAAAGCTCTATGTAATGTGGTAAAGCCAGCACGCCAAAGTAAATGTAAATTGCAATTAAAATTTCAAACAGGTTTATGTGTGCAAGAATCAACATGCTCTGTTTATGATGTAATGGAACATTCCCAGTCTCGGAGTAACTTGCAGGCATTTTCATATTCCTTCAGAACCCTGTAGCTTATAGACAGGTTCAGATGCTATTCATAATCATCAATTTATTTTGTGTGTCACAGCCTGCAGGGATAATAATAATAATAAGCCCCTCGCATATACGGTGGTAAATTACGTTAAAAAAATAATTCAAACTTATTCATGTTTTACTGAGCCTATTCTCATATTGCTGAAACGGCCAGAATTTAACTTCATTTTAGCCTGCGTGACGTGGAAAGGAAACAGCACCTATTAATGTCAGCGCTCCCATAACCCCGTGATAATAATTAATAATAATAGTATTGTCAATCACTTTATCAGCCCACTAACGGACGAAGACCTCCATAATAGAGATTTTTGGGTTAGATCGCATAAATAGAAATGCCTCGTTAAACCCACCACCACTCGGCACAGCCAATTAGTAAGGCTTGTCACGTGAACAAAACATGCCATTTCGTTACTAGTACAGCACACCGGTGTGTTGGTGAGTAAACCCACAACATTTACAATTCGAGTACGACGTTTCGCCAGTGATTACAACTAGCATCATCAGGCAACGGATAGAGTTGTGTTGCCTGTGTCGGGTGGTGGCGGATTTAACGACATACTTATATTTACGCGATCTAACCCAAAAACTTATATTATGGATAATATTGGTCGCGAAAGCCTACGGATGAAGACCTCTTAATGCCTTTTCGGACACCGTCAATATTGTTTGACCATACTTCACCATGCAGATCACTGTGGCTTGGAGAAGGGAAATCCCTGGACCGGTCGAGATATCCTTCGCTAATGACCTCAGCTTTGGTCAGGAATCGAACTCGGGTGGCCAAGTTCATAGTTCAGTGCCCTAACCAGTGTGCCACCGCTCCAATATTTGTCTCCGCCATTCCTGATATTCACAGAGACTCCACCAAGTTATTTCTCAATTTTAGGTGACAATAGAAGGCCAGGTTATGCTAAGAAGTGCAAATAGTTTTGACGGCCAGCAACTGAGCTCAGAGCATCGGGACTGCAACTCAATGCGCCAGTCACTTTGCAAACACTTCCTAGACGTGTGTAGAGATCATCCATGGACTTGCCCGTACATTTTCGTCCCCTTTCATTACATTGTACTCATTTCCTCCTGCCTCGTTGCCCCAGAAGCAAGGATTTATGTCAAAGCCCCCCAGTCACTCTTCGCTCAGTGGGAGGTCACTCATTTTTTCCCCTGCTGTCCACATGGTCTGGAACTCCACCAAGCGATTATCTGTGATGTCAACTGGCTCCACCCCCTGTTGAAATCCAGGCTTTAGAACTATATCTTCTCCTCTAGCCTATGACTGTCTATTATTTTAAAACATATACACTTTGCATAGTCTCATCTGTCCCAATGCTATGTACATCTCGGTGTTTTGTTCAGTGTCTTGAGATGCAGGTGCTTTGATGTTTTACATTTTCAAATCGAAGTATACTCTAAGTAGGAATGGCACTCATGTAGCATGGCAGCTAGGATGCTTAACTCAATCCAGACAAATTGAGTTTTGACTCCTGGTCAAAGCAAACCATGTATTGATCACATTTGTGCTTTTGACACTGCATTCATCATCTGAGCAGGACTGACAGAACAATTGCGTAGCAAGTAGCTAATTAACAGTGAAGCGTATTATTCAAATGAAATAAACAGAATGCAAGTGATATTAGTAAAGCAAAACATACTTTTTTAGTCTATTATCGAAAGGCCCACAACAGTAGCGTCTAGACTATGGCACAGATAAACAAAACAACTATACGTAGAATGGCTTTTTCAATCACTGCATATTTTTCATTTTTGGAGAAATATACATAGGGAATGCGTCACACGATGGAGAAGTGTGTGGAAAAAAAACTTACTGGCATTGCGAGTAGCTCTAGTAGCATAAAGCGTCCGTGCACTAGTAATTGGAATATTGAAGCGGGGTGAGATTAACATGCTTGTGATAGTTTTATATGAGTAAATTAACACGCATTAACGATCTCTGAAGAGCAATAACTGGAGAAATAGTGGCGGCAGAAGAATAGTGATGCGTTAATTAATGAATGATGCATGGAATGCAGTGAAGCAGTTCGTGTCTCACGAATTATTTCACGGTTATGGTGAACTATGGTTGCCTGTGTTTGCACATTGCCGCAACAAATAAGGCTGAAGACTCCAATGCCACTACGTGGGTTTTTACGGTTGTGTCTAGTTTCACTCTGCTTGGGAGCTCCTTCAAGAACAGAATCAGGAACTTCTTAAGTTCCTAAGGGAGCTCCCAGCACCTGGAGACAAACGTTGGACATGCTGACCAACCCAAGGTACAACACAAAAAAACACATCGGTTTATTAAAACTCTGCCTTTGTTGTTGTTTTTTATGCGCAAGGACATAACACAAATTTAAGTCCGGTGTTCAGAAGCCTATAAAGGATAATTATACAGCTCATGTGGGCTGTGCTATTAGTTAAAATTGTATGTTGAACTTATTTCCCCTTGCACGTGTGTTCATACACACCTTGCATACATGTGTTCGTTAACGAGGCTCAGCCAGAATGGTAAACATTAAATATGAAAAGTGCACGTGTCCCCTTATAACTTTGTCCACAATATTATTAATATCAATTTAGGGACCCCCCCTTTGACTGCTGAATAAAGGCCTCACCACGCCCTATGGTTTGGTGAAGGTGAGGGCCGAGAACCAATTCAGTTACCATTCACACACCGATGGTAGCCATGGCCAGGTATTGAATTCAAGTTTCTGGGTTCAAGACAGTATGTGAAAGAAGTGCAATATACATACACTGTACATAGCCAACCGTGCTAATCGAAGGTGCAGGAGAAGGACAACAAACTAAACACAAAACGCAGTTGTAAACAAATGAGTTTTCAATTGAAATTTCAAAGTGCAAAGCTCCAGTGGCTTCCGAATATCAAAAGGAAAAGCGTTCCAGACGGCCACAGAAGCGCATCTGAAAGGGCGATGCAGTGACCGTCTTTGTTCGATGGCTAGCTAAAATTTGCCGCGAGGATGACCAGAGAATGCGTGAAGCTCCGTGATGAGATCAGCAAGGTAATTGTTGGTAATGCACAACAATGTATCGTGTTTTGTGACATGCGTGAGGGGATTCTGTCATATTGAACTCCCAATTATGTCATATATGGGCAAATGAGGTATAAATAAGGGACCAAGGTGATTGGAAGTCAGAAATGAAGGGGAGATTGAAACATACTTCCCAAATTTAGAAATTCAACCCTGCAGTTATGAATGCAATTGTAAATTCACAGTAACACGATCCCGGCAACCTCCAATATGTTCTACACAAAGACGATGGGGCTCCAAAAACGGATTCTGGTTTCCATGGTGTCCAGCTGTGTCACAATGCACAGTGTGATCACTGAATGCGTTGTCAATGGAATTGGTGTCGTTGTGTTGCCACCCTGTATTCAAGCCGGGAGCTGGGTTAGAGAAACATGAGATTTGTTCTCACAGTATAACAATTTCATTGTCACTTTTGCATAGAGGGATTCAGTGTCCAAATAATGATATGCTGATACAATCGAGCTAATTCATCAACAAGAAAGCGTGTGTTATTTAGCACAACAGAATTACATTGAATTTACTTCATCATCAGCCATGGTCTATCCATTGCGGGATGTAAGCCTCCCCAAGCTGCCGTCGCCTCTCATGATCGTGAATATAAAAGATCCACCAAGCACCAGCACACAATACGACGTCATCACTTCAATACAATTACCAATACACTTAACAATGGGTTTTTGGGATCAATATAATTATCGTAGCATGTTTTAAACAAGGCACGGAGCAGGGTGTGCAATATCAACACGGAAAGGTAATTTTGTTGCAATTAAGTTTAAATTCTCGCAGGGTTTATGGGTGACTTTTGCCTATAGCATCGAGTTAGATAGCAGCATTGATTTGACAGGCCATACCCTGTATGGCTTAACAGGCTGTACCCCGAGAAGCCATAACCCTGAATTTAAACACATTCTCATGAGATACTAAGTATTTGCAATGTTCAACACTTGATACATTAAATGTCAATTAATTTCGACAATAAAACAAACGCCATCACCCGTTTAATAATTTAAACAAAATAATGTCCACTTGTTTTAAATCGAATCAGAGAGGTGGCTCAGTGGTAGAGCAATTGGCTCGGAATCGGAAGGTTGCGAGTTCAAACTCTGCTTTAGGGGTTGCCTTAGCCCATCATGCCTTTGGGTTCATTATAATAACTACCACTTTGTTGCAGAAGTCAATAGTGGTTGTCCCATGGATAGATTTGCCCCTGCTAGACGAATGTGAAATTTATGTAAACTGGAGCTCAGTTTCATCTCATTGCTCTTTTTCTTCTTTGGGTCGTCCATTCCTTTCAGAGAGGGAGGGGAGGGAGGGAGACTGGCATTGCTCGCGCTGACCTGCACAATGGCGTACTCGACGAGGGAGGCGAACGTGAAGACCAGGCACATGATGAGCCAGATGTCGATGGCTTTCACGTACGACACCTTGGGGAGCTCGGCGGCCAGCGACATGCTCTCCGATGACAAGCTGAGCACCGAGAAAATACCTGCCGAGCATGACCTTCACTTACTCGAGGAAGCAGAGCATTCCTCGACATACACCGCGTCAATCACGCGCAGCGCACGTGCGTGTTTGTGCGTGTTTGTGTGCACCTTATTATATGGGGAGCGGTGGTTAGTGCGCTGCGCTACGAACCCGGCGACACGAATTCGATTCCCGCTCACGGACAACGCCAGTGATGATTATCTGAACCGGTCCTGGGCCTCCCCTAGGTCGACTTAGCCTTAAGTGAGTACCGTGTGTCATGTGTAAAAATCGCCACTGGTGAGACAAAGGCGGCCGAGCGTGGTGCTGGCCACCCACTCCCTTTTGTGCTGTGTCCGGCCTTCATAGGTGCTCACTAAATGCACTTTCCTCAAAAGTCTATCAAGGCTATACGGGGCATGTATGTCCGTGTCTATTTACACCACGTAACAAGCGCGAATTAGATTATTTGTAGGGTAGCTGGGAATTGGGGGTAATCATGACAGTAGTGCAGGGTCACACCAAGCCTATATTAAAATGCATGTTGTAACTCCAGTGATATTCATATGCCTTAGATTGAAGGAGCACAACACAAGAAAATGTCTATGATGCACTTTGAGTCCTATCGGCCTGCGCTTATAATGAAAAAAAAACGAATTTCCAGCCTGTCAATTCACTGCTGGTTGAGGGCCACCCCATGCTATGTCAGTCATGGGGACGGCTTGGCCATATTTTACTCTGCTGCAGAGTGGAGGTTGGTAAAAGAGTAGCGTGGGGGGTGATACTCGTGACTCATGTTAGCCATGGTCAGCAATTCAGAATCAGAATCTTTATTTAGACTGTAGGAGGAATCCGATGAGCCATGAAGCTCTTTTTCACAGATGTCCTGTACAGGGCATGGGGTAAGCAAAGTTACAACAGCAAACAAGACAACGATAAAAAAAATAGATGAGTGCAAAATAGAGAAAATAGTAAGCGAGTCACTTTATATACAGAGGGAAAAAAGTATTTGATCCCCTGCTGATTTTGTACGTTTGCCCACTGACAAAGAAATGATCAGTCTATAATTTTAATGTTAGGTTTATTTGAACAGTGAGAGACAGAATAACAACAAAAAAAATCCAGAAAAACGCATGTCAAAAGTGTTATAAATTGATTTGCATTTTAATGAGGGAAATAAGTATTTGCCCCCTCTGCAAAACATGACTTAGTACTTGGTGGCAAAACCCTTGTTGGCAATCACAGAGGTCAGACGTTTCTTGTAGTTGGCCACCAGGTTTGCACACATCTCAGGAGGGATTTTGTCCCACTCCTCTTTGCAGATCTTCTCCAAGTCATTAAGGTGTCGAGGCTGACGTTTGGCAACTCGAACCTTCAGCTCCCTCCACAGATTTTCTATGGGATTAAGGTCTGGAGACTTGCTAGGCCACTCCAAGACCTTAATGTGCTTCTTCTCTAGCCACTCCTTTGTTGCTTTGGCCGTGTGTTTTGGGTCATTGTCATGCTGGAATACCCATCCACGACCCATTTTCAATGCCCTGGCTGAGGGAAGGAGGTTCTCACCCAAGATTTGACGGTACATGGCCCCGTCCATCGTCCCTTTGATGCAGTGAAGTTGTCCTGTCCCCGTAGCAGAAAAAAAAGCCCAAAGCAAACTTCAGACGGGCATGTATATGTGCTTTCTTGAGCAGGATTTCAGTCCTTCACGGCGTAGTGTGTTACCAATTGTTTTCTTGGTGACTCTGGTCCCAGCTGCCTGAAGATCATTGACAAGATCCTCCCGTGTAGTTCTGCGCTGATTCCTCACCGTTCTCATGATCATTGCAACTCCACGAGGTGAGATCTTGCATGGAGCCCCAGGCCGAGGGAGATTGACAGTTATTTTGTGTTTCTTCCATTTGCGAATAATCGCACCAACTGTTGTCACCTTCTCACCAAGCTGCTTGGCAATGGTCTTGTAGCCCATTCCAGCCTTGTGTATGTCTACAATCTTGTCCCTGACATCCTTGGAGAGCTCTTTGGTCCTGGCCATGGTGGAGAGTTTGAAATCTGATTGATTGATTGCTTCTGTGGACAGGTGTCTTTTATACAGGTAACAAGCTGAGATTAGGAGCACTCCCTTTAAGAGTGTGCTCCTAATCTCAGCTCGTTACCTGTATAAAATACACCTGGGAGCCAGAAATCTTTCTGATCGAGAGGGGGTCAAATACTTATTTACCTCATTAAAATGCAAATCAATTTATAAAATTTTTGACATGCGTTTTTCTGAATTTTGTTGTTGTTATTCTGTCTCTCACTGTCCAAATAAACCTACCATTAAAATTATAGACTGATCATTTCTTTGTCAGTGGGCAAACGTACAAAATCAGCAGGGGATCAAATACTTTTTTTCCTCACTGTATATATTTAATTATATAAGTTAGATTTCTAAATTTTTTACTAGGCAGCAAAAACAACCAAAACACAACAACTCAACGGTCCCAGACCCCACCGAGATAACACAGCGGTAAGTCCCTCAATACAATGGCATATTAACATCCTGTCGCCAGATTCATACTACAGTGTGCTAACCACTGCATCGCTTCTCCACCCCAGCCAAACTTGTATACGGATATTATTTATTCCAATAACAATTTGACTGGACCACATATATAGATGTATTTTTCACATATAAAGTAATTTACTTTGCCTTATTTGTGATATTAGATTAAATAAATACAGTGTCTAGAGAAGCATTTATATTGTCATGTTGTGCAAACTAACATGCGTCGAATGGATCTAAATAAACAACTAATGCATCAAATAAATGTGTTTTGCAAAGCATTGCAAAGCTCCAGGTACTTGATGAAATAATGTCCAACGTTTCGCTCTGTGCGCTTTGAGCTTTTTCAGGAATGAAATGCACTTTCTGAAGAAGCTTCCAGCACGTGGAGCTAAACATCGGTCATCGTGCTGGACAGCACGTGGTACAGCCCCCGAGCACACAGCACAACCGTGGAAACCTACTCAGTGGCATTGCGACAAAAACTGCACGTTTTATAGCGTCTCATTTTAAAATATCTCCCGTCAATCTGTCAGAGTAGACGGGCAAGAGAAATCAAGGGCATGGCCAGGATCGAGGTTGCTGTGCAGGAATTTGCATTATCATTGTTGCAATAGATTGGCCCCAGGCTCCTTTAGGAAGCAGAATACCGTGTCGGTAGTAAATAGGTTCTTCCCAGGTGGGGCTCCCCTTCTTCAAACTATTCCTGCTGCAGCACTGACAGATGTGCAACAGTGGTGTGACAGGTGACTCATAAACATCGCGACCCTTTGCAATGCAATTTTAAACAGAAGAGCGGGGTCATGTTATCATATCAGTTGCCCATTACAATGCGAAGAGGTTCCACTTATTCCCATACCTTGGTTGTGGCGGTGTTTGGAATAAATGGGGGAGTGGAAGCGTAGACCATCATGCATTGTATATCAAGTGCGGTCAAAGTGTAAAAAATGAATTATTGACATGAACGTTCCATGGATTTTTTAAATTAAATTTTATTCGAAAGTGACCCCTGAAATGTTATGTTTATAATGGTATGTGTTATGCATAATATACAAATAACCAGCCGAGAGCCCAATGTGAGAGGTCTCATTTGTATGTGAGACCTGAGAAATTCTGCAGAACAAAAAAATGGGGCAATGGAAAATGCTCGACAAAATATATTCCACAAAACAGAAACAACAAAAACAAGCACTATGGGCCATGACATAAAACGGGAAAGGTGCAGCCTTTCAATTGCTTGTTGACATCACTGTTGATAGAGGGTATTTGGCCTACCCTTCCATGCTGGACAGATGTCTTAAAGCAACGGTAATACCCACACTTTACACGACAATACACGACATGCTGATGCACTAAATGCTGCGTATCCATTTCAGAATCAGAATATGTATTTATCCTAGAGGAATCCGATGAGCTATGAAACTCGTTTTAATAGAAGTTTAACTACTTTTGCACCATATGTATCCAAATGTGCTTATCAGAGGTGCAGGGGAAGGACAACAAACTAAACACAAAATGCAGTTCTAAATAAATTAGTTTTCAAACTTAGATTTGAAAGTCCATAGCTCCAGTGGCTTCCTAATGTCAGAAGAGCGTTCCAGACGACCACAGAAGCACATCTGAAAGCGCATGATGCGGTGACCATTTTTGTTTGATGGCGAGCATAAGCCGCTCCTGCGAGGATGACCAGAGTTTGCCTGACGATTTATGCTCCTTGACGAGATCAGCAAAGTATTGTGGTTCATTTGTGGCATGCACTTGTTGTGTCATGAACGCTACCTTATAATGTGTCCGTTTGGCAACCGGAAACCAATGTAGCACGGCGAGTGCTGCTCGGTGGGAAGAGTCAGTGGAGGGGATTTAAGAAACTGGCACCGTTGTCTCAACTGCCACGGCGTGATATTGAACTGAATGACCTCTGGATTGCAAGTGATAGCCATTCGCTTCTAAATCCGAGAACGATTTGCTCCCAAGTGGCACTTGGTATCGGAGCCTTGCCTGGCCCTCCTCTGGGTCAATCTAGCTAAAATAAAACATACCTAGTGAAGTGTGTCCACATGGGAGCGGGGCAGGGAGTCACTGATGAGATATAACTGACCATGGTCGCGGCTACAATCACCCCCCCCCCCCCCCTTGTGTGCTAAGTTATCTCTAACAGTGCTTGCTCCAAGACCATATGCAGTATATCATGTATATGCATCCACACAACCATGGCCATAGAAATTCGATGCCTTGGTATGTAATGTTGTCTTCGGGTCACCTTCCCGTCTCTCATCAGCATTGTCCAAGCTAGCCACTTTACCAGGGCCTAGATTGTAACTAATGTTATAATTTCAATAAACACTGCTTTTGTCCATGTTTTATTTGAGACAAAGACTACGTAAAATTTAATTTCATGAAACAAATAGCAGACTAAGCTATTAACCAGAACATATTTACATGTTCCCTACATTTAGTGTTTAGCATTAGATTCCCAAACT